TTTACTTTCATTTCAGAAAGGTTTGTGTCTAGTAATTTAACCCCCAAACGATCTATTTATTCAGAACAGAATTGCACTAGGGGACAGAGAAGGCATAGAGTATTCTGGGAGGCAGCCATGCACGTGTGCTTCTGTGAACATGGTAATTTTTGAAGACTGCTACCACAATCTGTTTAATTGTGCTTAACAGCAATATCTGCAATGTATCAAAAGGAAAAAAAAAATTCTCCCTATTACTGGTGCATTTCTGTGAGGCTGTATGATTACAATACACCTTCTGGAACGCTTTTCTTCTCTCTTTGTTTGTCATCACCTGGTATAACAGAGGATAATTTTTGTGCATTGCTGCTGTCCTTTATCCAGCACCTAACAAACAAAATAGCTCTTCTTCCCTAAAGGATGTTGGGTCCCTGGGTCCAGGATGGTTTTCCAGAGTGCTGACCGTCTCCAGTTCAGCTCAGGCGTCTGCAAACACCTAATCCTAGAGCAAAGTCTCCCATGCATTTGTCAGGCAATGAGCCCTGCCTAGAGGTTTAATGCGAAAGCTGATCAGACTTTGCTTTCCTCCTGTGTTTTGGGGGTCTTGGAAAGGTGTTCTGTAAAAATCAGTCAGCGAATCCAGATTGCTCAGTGCACTGGCATAGCCAGGAATCCCCACGCCGTGCTGTGAAGCGGGGGCATCTGTGCTGCAAAGGGCTTTACCGTCCGCTTTCCAGCCGCGGGGGAAAACGCACAAAGCGAGTGGGACGCACGAGTGCTAGTGCTGCGTTTGGTACTGAGCCCTCGGCGGGGTGGCAGGTTGTGCAGGGTTTTGGTCTGCCTTTGCCGGGTCTGCCGGTCCGATCTCGCGTCACTGCAGCCCGTTTCTAACAGAGGTGCTTGGGAAGGGGAGCTGGCCACGGCAGAGGCCTTCTTGGGTTGGAAATATCGTCCTGGGCGCCCCGGTGAGTGGACTGAGGAGTGCTTCACATGCCTGCAGGCCACTTATGTCCCTGCATCTGCTTTAGGCAGAAAACCAGCTGTCCTGGCTGTCTCTGCAGAGTTACCCTGTGGGTGCAGGTGTGGTGGTGAGCAGAGAAGGCCAATGAGGAACCAGATATGGTCCTTACCTTAATGTTCAGTAATCCCTCCGGGCTGGGAGCAGCAGGGCAGGCAGAGGGCTTGTCCTCACAAGCACGCTGCTCTGTGCAAATATCAGCCCACAACAGTGGGCTCTGGAGGGTGATAATACTTGGAAAGATGGCAGGTGTTTCCATGCTGCAGCCGGAGGTGCTCAATAAACCAAATAACTAGATGAGAGGGAGATATATTGGCAGCAGAAGCCCAGTGTACTTGTTCCCTGGTGAGCAGCTCTCCCAAGCCGCAACGTGCGGTCATGTTGGTTGGTGATGGTTGCACGTGCATGCACAGGGCTACTGCTGGCAAAACACGAGATCCTGATTTCAAAAGGCTTCAGACACATGTTGCAGCTTCTAAAGCAATTTTAGCCCTGCCCCCAGAGCGGCAACTTTCCTCCCTGGCTACCTCTGGGCTAAATTTGTCCCTCTTTCCAATGCTGCCCTTTCAACGCAAGTCCTGCTCGTTTCTCACGCTTCCAGCAGGCCTTTGTGCGCAGCTGCCACGGTCTGTTTGGCTCCTATTTCGGTTCTGAACTCCATCTCTGTGTTCACGCGTCTGTACTAAGAGTTATTGACTTGTCCCCTCAGTACTTCTGGGGCGGAGTGTAGCTGCTTCCAGCTGCCACCCCGGCACAGAGCATAGTGTTTGGCGATGAAAAGCAAGCATGCCCTTATCAAATGGGCAGCATGTGGGGCTTGGACTAGAGAATGGTGCTGTGGGGTGCAGAGAGGACCTGACTATCCCGCCCCCGAACCCTGGTGTTCAGGTGATCGCTAAGGTCAGTCCCATGAAATTTCTTTGCTGTCACCGTGTGGCAATTAAGGTTGTGATGAAAAACTGCTGCTGAAATGGTTATAGAGCCCCTGCCATTCAAGCAGGTGAAAGAGTTTTACTCACTCCCTTTTGCATCTGGGATTAGCTCCCCTTAAGAAGCACTTTTTATACCGCTCTCCCTCTCTCTGTCCCTACTTGGAGCATTGTACAGCTTTCCTAGGCTGACATAATTAATGCAGTGCAATCCACGTGTGTGTACAAGTCCTAAAATGTTTCCAGACCAGCCCCCATAAGTGCCAAACTGGTTAAGACCCACCCAAACTCCTCAGCACAGCCTGGCTTGCCTGTCGAGTCATCGGTTGCGCTGGCCTTTGATGTCCCCTGATAGTTTTCCATCCAGGTGCCGACCCGGGCAGCTCCTTAGCAGGGGGGAACACGGCTGTGTTTGTGAGCCGTGCACCCTGGCCTTGCGACCACGAAAGCCCATATTCTCTTGCTTTTGCTCCAACATGCTTCTCAGCAGGTTTGGGATTTAAAAATAGAGGGTTTATTTAAATTAACACTAGTTGTCTCAGTGCAGATAGTATTAAAATGGAAACTGTAGTACCTGTAAACACACAAAATACCTCTTGTCTCCTGAAAAATGTATCTGTCCTTCACAACCCGGGCTGCAGCAGGCATACGGTCTGAACTAGGTCGCCCACAAACTGCAGGTCCAGGGCTCTGGAGTTCCCAGCGAGCCTGCACGCATCCCACTGCTCCGCTCGGCCGCAGGATAGCTGCGTCTTTGTTCGCAGAGGCAGGTGAAAGGCACGAGTCAGCTGCCAACAGCTTGCTCTCGGACAAACCATCTCTCACCCCACTTCTCACGAGTGCTAGAAGGCATGGATCACGTCTGTCCCCCCGCCCCCCGGAGTCGCAGCTGGAAAACCAGTTATTGAAACAACAACGAGCGCTGCATTTCTCTTTGCTCCCTGATTTCTAAGTCACAATTTCAATTTTTTTGCTCAAAGAATAAGCAGAAGAGGCAGGCTTTTTTGAAAAAGAATGTGGAACTTGTGACCTGTTCCTTTGACTTCAGCAGTTTCAAGAAAAAGCTCCTGTAACTGAAGACGTGCAGCAGCTGCAGCACAGCTGCCCTTTCTGACAGATCCCACCCTTTCTCCGTGCATGGACTCACTGTTTTTTTATTTCATTTATGAAGAAAATAACGCTTGAGATTTGGGAATTCCTTGGTGAGCACTTCCTGTGAACATGTCTCTTCCTGTTGGTTGCCCGTGGACAACGCCTGTAACCGTGGCCGAGGTGGCGAGGAAGGACCGGCTGGGCAAACCTGCCCCCCTGGTCCCACGTGGCAAACCCAGCTGCCTCCCTCGCACAGCCCCTTGGTCCCTTGCTGAGATGAAGGTGTGGATGACTGGCTCTAGTCTGGGGTGAGCAACTCCCTCACTGCCCTATGGGTGGGGGAATCCACCAAAATATGCCAGGCTTTCAAAGCCAAAGCACCTGGTATTTCTGCAGATATTAGACAGAAGGGAGGCCGCTGCTCGCTGCCTGTGCTGTCACTCCCAGCTCTGGCATGGGCACCTTGAGCCTTCAGAGATCGCTCTGAAGTCCCAGGAGAAGCCACTAATGACTCAGAAGTGACCTAGCAGAAATGTCTACAGGAAGCTTTGGTCTGATTTTATTACAGAGAGATGAAGCAAAAATAAGAGCTAAGGAGCTGCTCCGGCAAAAATGTTTGCTGCAGAAGAGGCGGGGGGAGAGACCTAGACCTCTTCCAGCCAGGTGGTACATAGTATATCAAGGCCAGATGAAATACGGAGGCCGTTCCTGAGGGTGCACCTGCCTGACTTTTTCATTTGCTTGGCAAGACAACGTGTCAGATGCGGCAGCTACGTGCAAGGCAAAGGAAGTGGGAAGGGGGGCATAGCTCCCACCTCCAGCACTGACACGCTCTTCGGCGAAGTGAAAACAGACTCACTGTGGCGAGGATGCACTGGAAAGGTCGTTTCTATTGTGGTGGCTGCTGCTATTGCAAAAGATGGTCAGTTCCTGGCTCCTCCCTCTGGGATGAGAGACGGGCAAGATGACCTTGCCATGGAAAAAGAGATGAGAGCTTAAAAGGTCAGAGAACATGCCAAGCGTTAAAATTGCACGCAAGAAGTCAGCAGTGACTGCTCATGCTTTAACCGTGCCTCTTGCGCCGGGGCCTTTAGTCGGCGTGAGGAACCAGGTGGGAAGAGACAGAGCGCCCTAAGACGGGAGCCGGCAGTGCCAGAGACCCCTTCCTTCCAGCAAACCTGTCCCCCTCTGACCTCCTTCTGTTTTGCTCAGTCCAGTGTTACTTACAGTCTCCCAGGAAAGTCCTGCATAGTGAAATTGCCTGATTCCTCCAGCTGTTCCCCCCTTACCCACCCGCCATGCCAAGGCTGCTGTATTCCCACCTGCCTCTGGGAACGCAGAGACCGCTTAATGGATTATGGCTGGATAAACAGTAAAACTGAGCATATGTGAATGTTTCAGCCTCCGCTGTGCCTGCTCTTGCTCGTTCAAGGGGCTGAGGTCTGCTTGGCAAGTCTTTCAGGGCCTCCGGCTGCAGCGCTGGGTGCCCCGGCTGCAGCTCAGGCTGCCAGGGCCTGGCTGCGTTGGCGGGGACCGGGAAGCAGAGGCACCCTTGGGCAATAAGGATCGGTGGCCCGATCCGGTGGGCGGCTGCTGTGCCCACGGGCTGGAGAGAGACCTCCTCTGCTCGAGTCCCGAGTGCGTTAGAGACAGAAGAGAGGACAGGACTCCCCGGATCAGGCTGTTAGTGACACGCGGTAGCCGAGCTGTGACTCGGCGAGGTAGGCTCTGGGGAGCAAACCGAGGAAGAGAAGATGCCTGTCTCCCAGCATGCTCTGTCCTCCAGGTCTCCTCAACCAGGGCATCAACTCCTTCACTTTCATATGAACTGACATACAACAGTTTAATTTCTCATTCTTTAAAACTCAGTATTCATTCAACAGTTTCACACACAAACTGCGTAGACACAGGAATGTACACAAAAGTATTAAATGAGATATAGAATGTTTATTAGAAGCTTCCAATATATTTTATCTGTTCTCTCTCCCATAAAACCCCTCATACTGGATATACAGCTACTATAGTCCATCTAGAGTCTGTACACCCCTCTTACTATTTACTGCTATGTATCTCACTGTACAGTCGTGCAGTATGCTCCCTTATCGGCAATAATACGTGGTCTTAAATGCAACCTCGCACCCGCTAAAATTGCATTGCACTCTGCATTACAAGGAAAGAGCTAAACCTCTCCTCTCTTGTTTCATACGACAAACCCTTATTGCTGCAGACTGTTCCTGTAAAGCTCATAGGCAGATCCATACAGGTATTTTGGGTAGATCTCCCCCAGTACCTTTACGGATCTGGTCCCTAAGCGCTTATCCGATCTCACATTTATGCTGTTATCAGGCTCGGGAGTGAAGAAAAGCCCTCCTTCATAATGCCCTTGAGTGACCAAGGAGGCTCTAGAGACAGGGAGGAAACTGAACCACTTCCTTTTCATTTTTCACCACACCCTCCACGCTAGGTCTCCCTCCCTCCTTCCCTGCCAGCCAGCTCCTTCCCCCTTGGGGTTACACTCAGACAAGGCACCTCCTCAGCCTCCATCTCCTCCCAGCCAGTTTTTTGTCCCTGGTATGCGAGGCAGCAGTGGGACCAGGTGGTAAGCCTAGACCCTTCATCTGGTGAGCCTCAGAGCTAAATGCGTATGCTTCCCGTTCCCTCTTTTCCACCATGCTCCTGTCCTTGTCAGAGGTCTTTCCTGAGCACTTCCCCGAGCTCAGCCCCTCTCCTTGCTGCCTGGGCAGCCTCTTTCCGCGCAGCGCAGCCCTTCTCCAGGGCTCCTTTTGACTGCTCCTTCCCCTGGTGCTGGCTGTGCCACACCTGCCCCGTTCTGCCTACAGGAGCGAGATGTGTCACTGCGGTGGGCGCTCCTCACCCGCAGGAAGAGACACCGCATCCGTGGCTCTGCCTCAGCAGCGCCGAGGCAGCCGCAAGCAACAGAAACCTTATTGCAGCCTCCTGAACCATTAGACTGAATGGTGACTTCTTGGAATGAAATCCGAGTATGTGAGTCCCTCCTGCAGTGAGCCAAACCAGTCATGGGAGGCCTGGGCTCTGCCAAGCAAGCTGCCCTCCATCCTCCTTCTCTTTCTCAGCCCAGCTAGCAGGGTGCACATGCTTAGTCTAGCATGTCCATCTTCAGAGACAGCTCTTCTGCAAAGCTTTCTCTTCTCTATCTTCACCGATACCCCCAACCCATTCACAGAAAACAAAGCACTCTCCCTGGTTTCTTTTGCTCTCCCCTCCTCCACTGTCTAAATCTTCCTTTGTCACAAGCTGACTTCCAGCAAGGAGGATGGACAAGCAGCGCCTAGGAGATAGCACAAGTACTTGAGAAGTCCACAGACAAAGAACCGAACCAGCCACACTGGGCTCCTCTTCTGTACAGGTATAAATTGCCTACCATATTGTAAATTACTGTCACTGGAAGGATCCTGCTTCCTGTAACATCCTGTCCCTTTTAGAAAGGGGTCCAGAGAAGACTTGATGTTGGGATCCAAGCTTCTCACACTGTCCAAGAACAAGGCTTGGGAGCCTCTCTGCCTTCCTCACCTGTCCTCGGGAAGCATCTCACTCGTGTGGTGTGACTAGGTCTTGTGGTATCCTTCTCTGACCTGCCTTCTGAAGTAACGGATGGCAGAAAGCGTGCCAAAAGTTGCCAGGAACACTGGAAAAGAGCCCAACACATTTCCAGAGTGAGTCTGGGTGCTTCTTCCAAATCCTGATGATCACAAGCTACTCATCTCACTCAGGTCCATGGGACCTAGGGGGCGGGGGTTGTTCCCTTCCCTCTCTCAGACCCCTCCTGCCTTGCACTTCATCCACACCACACGATGCTTGTTCCCAGTGCATTCAGTCCTGACCTGCCAGCAGCCTGGCAGACCACAGCTACTCCTCCAGCTTGGGCACACAGATCAGAGCAAGATCTTGTTTTACAAGAAACAGCTGTTTTTAAGGAAAGAACCACATAGACTTCATGTGCATGGTGAGAAGTGAGGGGATTGAGCAATATGCCTTAATAGGGCATGGAGCCTGTGCTAACATGATGATACAGGTTGCATCTGGCATGTCTTGTGACCATTTGCATCTGAGATCATCAGAAAGGAACCCTCTTGGGGGAAAATAGCATCTCCTGGGGACAGCTGCCCTGAGATGTTAAAGGTAGCGGCCTTACCTTGGAGTCTGCAAGAGTGTCTGGTGCCGGTCCTGCTGTGAGAGCTCTTGTTCACACAAGACTCCCATTCCACCTGAACAGCCCTTTATATTGTGAAAGAGGCCAGCTACAGTGTCCCTGAAGGGATGAACATTATACGAGGAGGGTGCACGGGGCACCCATAGGAAATAGAAACAGATGCATCTGCCTGGCAGGGTGGTGGTTAGACGTACAGGTTGGTGTGGAGGTGTGGATATGAAGGCCACAGCAGGAAATCTCACTAGAACTTTCTTTCTGGAGATTCCCCTCATTTTCTGCTTCTGTTTGCACCAGGAAGATGCCAAGAGAGATATCTTTCTCTGGGTTATCTGCAGATATTCTGATCCCAGCCAAAAGCAAAAAAATACCCCCAAAACAACCAGAAAGGGCCAAGATCCAAAAAATAACTAATAGAGAATGCACAGAGAATCAAGCACTTCCGTGAACTTTTAGTTCAAGTTTTTAGCTTAGTTTATAAGAGAGGCCAAATTGCCCTGATCTGTGCCCAACTAAAACTGTGAACCCATTTGGACACCCTGGTTTAAATTTAGTCGTGATTTTGATTTACGTGTTAGAGCCCGGGACATAAACAAGGAAATTCAATTTGTTGGACCCTAAAATGTCTAAAGAGAATTGCTAGTCCAGGACAGGACTTGTCTCTTGCCTTCTCTCCTCACCATGGTGTTTACTGCACTCCAGCTTATGCAATCACGAGGGCACGAGGCCCGTATGCCACTCTTCTCACCCTCTCTGTGGCCCTGTCTACGATCTAATACTAAGAAGGCAAGGAAGACCAGGCCAAAAGCTTCTTGTGATTATTGCACTGAACAGCTTTAGCTAATGAGCTATTCTCAGCCCCAGGGTGTCAGCTTGGTGCGTGACCTTAGCGGGGAACATTCCTCCCCTGGGACGACCAGCAGGAAGCCCTGGCCTGGAGTGTCTCTCCCCACGGTGAGGACTCTCCTGTGCCCTGTGAGGGCTCAGCAGTGGTTCTGGGCTGGACCCCTCTAATGCACACAGCAAAGTGCTGCTGCAGTAGTTGTCTGGCGCTCTGTTTATGCAATGACCCGGCGTCGCTTTGAGCCAAAGTTCGGCCAATTCATGCTGCCTGGGCTTTATCTCTCCCTACCGGTTATGCTGTGGTTTGAGAGGAGAGGAACTGACAGAGCTCAGTTTACTTGAAGGACTCAATGCAGCAGGATAATACTTCAGCTAAGCTGTATTTATCAGAAAGATTATGCATTTCTAGCACATTATAAAAGTACACGTTTGTTCCAGCTGGGATGAAGGAGTATAAACCAGCATACCTGAGGTCCTGATTCAGCTACTGGGTAGCAGGGATCTTAAAGAAACATCTATTGACCTGACACACTGGTGCTGGCCCCTGTCAGAGGCTAGATGGAGCAGGGCCAGAGCTAGGAACATAGCGATTGTCCCGTGGCTCAGGTTAGGGTCAGCAGATGCTTTGTGAGGGAAATGGACAAGGTAAGTGAGTAGCAATCAGGACTGGCATTTCTATAGGAGAGAGAAGGTGTTAGAAAGCAACAGGACACTTTAGAAAAAACAGGAAAATGACTCTCTGCAGTTTTCTGCTGGCACCCTTTGATGTCTTAGCATCCCTGCCTCCCTGCCTGCCGGGTCTTCCATAAGGTCCTCCTCACCCCTCTCCTGCCCCAGCCTAGGCACCATACATACTAGTCTTCCACGCATCCGGAGCCTGCAGATCGGAGGTCTTCACTGCCCAGGAGGCAAAGGCACAGAAGACGAGGCACATGTCCTTGTGAGTCAGAGGCAGCGGAGCCTCGGGCCTCCCTGCGGGAAGGACAGCATGAGGCGTGAGGTGTTACGTTGCCCTCCTCTGCCATCGCAAGCGCCTGTCTCTTTGGGGTGGAGTCCCTTACGCTCCAAGAGAAATACATCTTAGTCACACATTTTCCCTCCCAAAAGACCTTTTCTTCACTACTGGTCCAGTCAAATATATCTGTTTTGGACTCAGGCATATTCCTAAAGGAAAGTGGCACTTTTTTTTCATTCATCTCAGTTTTAAGCTTTGTTAAAGAACAAATATTTGTTAATGCTACCTGCACGCCTGGGGGAGACAGCTAATGAACGCACAGCCTTTAGGACCTCTGAGTGCCCCACCACCTTCCCCGTGTTTCCTCCCAGAGCCCCCCCTGCCTGCTGTTTTGGACTCAGGCATATTCCTAAAGGAAAGTGGCACTTTTTTTTCATTCATCTCAGTTTTAAGCTTTGTTAAAGAACAAATATTTGTTAATGCTACCTGCACGCCTGGGGGAGACAGCTAATGAACGCACAGCCTTTAGGACCTCTGAGTGCCCCACCACCTTCCCCGTGTTTCCTCCCAGAGCCCCCCCTGCCTGGTGGCTGGAGGATGCTCTAGTAGCTAGTGCAGCTGGATCCAGGAGACCCGGGCTGGCTGCTGCTGCACGGTGCCTGCAGGCAGGCCCCTCCGGGTAGGGTCCCCTGCCTGCCCCAGTGCTGGGAGGTGCTCTGGGATCCCCATGGCTCCAGTATGACACATAGCCCTGCGACAAGCATCACGGCCCTGCGTTCCCACCTCGCTCCTGCACCCTGCTAGGACCAGGGTGGAGACAGCACTGAGGGCTCTGCATTTTTTCCCGGAGTCCTGCTTTTTAGAGCTCCAGTCTAGCACGACTTGAAGACATGTTGCAAGAATAGGTAATTTTTGTTCCTAAGTTTATTTGATAAGGTTTTTAATTAAAGCTGGCTTATTAATTCGTTACCACCTTTGCAAAGGGGTTTTTCGCTGTGCAAACAGAGCGGAAGCTCTGTTTTGAGTCACCTCTGGGATGACTCATTCATTGTTTGTTTTTAATATTAACTATGAGGCACTGTGGCTGTAAGCGTCATATAAGCTCTAAGATAAATATGCCGGCTGTCCTACTGGGCCAGACTTGCTCTCCCTTTATTCCTGTCTCTCTTACCAGCCCCAGGAAAGAGATGTAACAGTGAAAGTTCAGGTAACCTTCGGGGTCTCTGGAGAGTGCTTTTTAAATTAGTGTCTGTTTTAAAGCCCCCTCATCTCTTTCAGCTGAAAGCCTTGGACATGTTGTACTCTGTGTACACCTTTTCCCCCAACAGCATTAGGCAAATTAGCAACCCAGCCTTATCAGGACAGCAGCTCAGCGATCATCGCTTTACTGCAGGGGCATGAGTTGTTTGCTACAGAAGGATTTTACTGGTCCCTCTCCCATTCCCTTGTACAGGCATGTGGTTCTGCAGGCTGCTGGACAGCACGGGCATGGGGAGATTCCCATCTCTACCAGACCTTGCAATAACACCAGCCATGTTTATTGTAGCTACCTGCTTCAGCAAGTTTTCCTTGGCCAGCGTGCAAAAAACCAGATTGCATCCACAGTAAGTTATATCCAGTTAGGGCCAACTTATTCAACCAGGAGAGGGAGTCTGGGCCAGACTGAGTTTCAGCCTGTTGCGTGCTCGCTGTCATGACCATCGCTGCCCCAGGACTGGAGTATGCTGGTAAGCAAAGCAAGTTACACACAGCGTATAGCCCCTGCCCACGCTTCCTGCAGCACTGGAAACTGGCTTGCAAGGCCTGGCCAGCAGCGGTCGCTTGGGCACAGGGGCAACAGGAGCATCGCAAGGATACAGTAATGCAGCACAGCATGTCGTGGCTCTTGCCCCAGCCCCATTGCCAAAGATCTCTGCTAAAGCCCAGGGCTGCTATATGGCAAGGAAACGTGCTGGGACTGTGATTTCAGACCAGCTATGCTGGCTGAGCCCACCAAAATGCTTCCATCTGTAAGGTGGCCCTAATGCTGCTGCAGATGGAGCAGAGATGGCTCCAACAGCAGTGTGAGCGCTGGCTAAGAAGTTTCCCGCAAGGCAGTGGAGCAGGGGAGACCACGAAAAGCAGAGGCGTATCTCTAAGCGCAGCAGCGAGCTGGAGCTGTCAGGCAGCAGGCGCGCTAACAGCGCTTTACCTGTCAGTGCAAGGGCCATGTCTAGACCGTCTGGCCGTGCCTGGCCTCTTCCCAGCGGCACCAGCGGGGCGAGGGGGAGCTTCTCTCCGGATCCTCTCCGCACAAGAGCATGGGGAGCCGGCACCTGGCCTCTGATGAGATGCATTGGCCTTTGCAGGAACGACGTCAAAGCCCCCACGGCTTTCTTCACCTCAGAGGCTGGAGCGGTCAGGAAAATCCCTCTCCAGCCCCTGTTCCCAGGCCCATCAGCAAAGAAGTGTTCATACACCTCGGGGACAGAGATAACCAGGGACTCTCTGGCTGGAGTTGAGTCAGGGTCCTCCTTTTGCAGCTGAGCTTGGCCCAGGCTGCTGAACTTCTTTCGCTTCCTGTCTTTGCCCTTGACTTTTTTCCTGTTTCCTTCAGGCTCATTGAAAAAATATTCATACAGCTCAGGCAAAGATATTTCCCTTTCCAGGGGTATTGCCTCCTCCTCCACGGGGTTCCCCGGTCCTTCTTCCTCCCCTTGGGAGTCGCAGAACAAATAGTCGTACATCTCGGGCCAAGTCACGTCAAGGGTGTTTCCCCTTGCAGAGCCCTCCGCTGCAAAGCAAGGGGGGCCCAGCGCCCCGGGGGCCCCGGCCGCGGCATCCCCTCCAAGCAGCGCCCCGCTCGCGGGGTCCGGCGGCT